TTTATTTTGATATCCTCCCTATTCCTAATATGTAGTGATACATTATGTACAAAAATATTGATGAAAACTTTTTCTTTTCAATTCTGTTTATTTTTCATAATGACATAACTTATTTAAATATCTCAATTTTCAATATTTCAGGTACCTGAACATCTTCTGGGATTTTACATTTTGTTATGTCTACATACTTTTCGAAAATATACACCTCCTAATGGGACTATCTTTATTATTTGCTCCATTTTTATTTTGAAAATTTTTATCTTGGAATCGAATATCATTATGCTTCGTCATGTAATTGATTTATAAATTATAATGTTAATAACTTGTCCCTCTGGAATTTCAATTCAAGTTAAGGCATTTAAAGCTGGAACATAAGATATTTTAATCTCTTCATTAGTAAATACATTTAAATAATTATTTTTTAAACTTCTAGTTCAAATTATCTTTTGTGAAAATCTAGATAATATAATGATACATTTGCACATTATTTTCATCTTAATTCATTCCCTAATGTTGAGAGAGCTCTCCAATTAAATTAACAATTAGCAAATCGATATATAAAGTATCATCGATTAGGGCTTGGTATATTGTACAATGGTACAAACTATGCATTTATTATCAGTATTTTTTACTTTCCATATCATTGCATTGTGGTTGAACAATTGGATATATATTGCATTATCAAAATAATTAGATGACCAAAGTTGGACTTTGACCATAAGCCAAATATAGTGGGAATAATTTTGATATTGGCATGGTGCGAATAACATTTCCTAGACGATAATGAGAACTATTTTGTTCCTAATATAATGATTTAGAAAATAATTGAAGGTGTTAACAAACAAGAGTGTAAAATTATTTATCAGCATCCCAACTAACACTTATTAATATATTGAGATTTAGGCTCATTAGCATTAAGAAGACACAAGGTCTTGATTATATAATTTGAAAATTATACTCATAATTTAAAACTTGAGTAGTAATTTAGCAACTTCATATTGCAAACACCATGTAGTCATTTAATAGATAATATTTAGATCCAATACTTACATTGAAGTATATAAATTTGTGATTCTTCAATTATATTTCTTCAAGTATAACCACAAAATATTCTTCAATAATATTGTTGTATAATATTTATACTCTTTTGAGATCAATAATAAAATATTTCTAATAAAAGTATGGTATGTACAACTTTGTGATTTTTCAGGAACAACATATTTTTTTAAAAAAATATTAACATAATATTTATGTAGAATATTATTTTTATATATAGTCACGCTTCTTCAAGGGCGACAAGACAATATTCTTTAGAATATTGATATATACTTGAGCATAATTGTTCACAAGCAATAGAAAAATATCCTTCTAGAATATTGATACATTTAGATTAATTATAATATTCTTCTACGATATTAAAAGGTATAAATTTTTGCTTCTTCAGGAACACAATGAGATATATATTTTTCAAAACATGTGCTACTTCGAGAGCACATTACATTTTATCATTCTTTATTCAAGAATATGTCAAATTCTTCTAAAATGTTGAAATTGTAATGTCAAACTCTTCAAGAGCAACAAATTTTTGCAATAGATAGATATAAGAGTACAAAATCCATAAATTATATTATTTATCGAAAAGAATAGAAATGAGATAATTAATATGAATATAAAATAAGAAGAAACAAGACATGCTTTGGAAATAGAGATTTGATTTGGGATATATACTAAATTTAAATTGCTATCATTTAAGATATATATTATTATATTACATGTTCAACATATGATTAGAATAATACGGTGATTGAGAATTTAATAATGAAAGGTGTGGCTCACCAAATTTTCTTACTTTATTGAATAGTACCAATCTCCATGCTTTTCTTCAACTAAATGAATAATTCGTTTTTGGAATAATTTGGGATCACCACAGTTGGATGGTTGTATGTACTAAAAGTACGTTATACATGTCTCATGGTCTAAACACTACATCAATTCTTAAAGCTTTTAGAATCAACAAACTTTAGGTTTGTAAAAAAAAATTTGTTTGAATGAATCTATAATTTCTGAGAAATGTGCTTCTTCAAGAACACCATCATAATATTCTTCGAAAATATTAGTACATGTAGAATCATCTTAAACAGCAAAACCACGATATTCTTTTGATTCAGTCATGAAAAACTAACAATATTCTTCAAGAATAATAGTATGTAAAATTATATGAGTTTTCATAAACGACAAAATATTCTTTTAGAATATTAATGTGTATAAGCCCTTTTTTGAAATAACCAAATATTCTTCGAGAATTATGGATTATTTATATATAAGTTATGCTTTTCCAGGAGCATTAACATAATTATCAAACTCAGAATTATATAAAGTTAATCTTCGAAACTAACATAATATTCTCCTAGAATATTGATTAATATAAAAAAAATTTATTTCTTCAGGAATATCAAACTAATACAATTCTTGAATGTATTTATGTAGGTGGATTGTGTTTCTTCAGAAACATCAATGCAAATATTAAATATCTTCATATTAAAATGTTCTTCTTTAGAAACATAACAAGATGTATACTTTTCCAAAGTATAAATACAATATTTTTCTGAAATGTTGATATTAAAACTTTGTTCTACTTTTCAAGCTAAATAATACAATATTTTAAGAATCAAATTTTGTGTTTTATATGAGAAACAAATCAATATTCTTCTGGAATATTGAACGAATATAAAATCATTCTTTTTCAAAAGTAATGACACCATATTTAATAATTTAAATAGATTTAGATAACTTTGAGTAATCTCAAAATTTTTTAAAAAACAAACCTATAAAATTTTTTTATCCAAAAATTTACAATCTTCCAATCAATTCAAAATTTTCACTACTGTTCTCATAACAATTTATCACAAAAGAACCGTATGATCTTGATATTAACTGTTTAATTTAAAGAACAATCAGTTGTTAACCTACTATCCAAATTTCCCTATGATTGGAACACGAATTATTGAGATAACAACGTTCGAGATACCAGCACGATATAACCTTGCTAATCTAGGTACCTAAGTACTTCATTTGAATAATATTAGGAGATGCTTGAGTACCCTAAACATTGATTCTAAATAATTTTTGCATAGGTACACAACTAAGGAAAGTTGTATGTTAATTATGACTTGCGTACTAAGAGATAAATCATTTCTTGAACAGGGTGGAGTTTGTTGAGACAACTTGTATGTCACAAACGATTAAATAAGCCAAAGTTGCAACATTGAACATGTGTTTTATCACAGGGCAAGATTTGATCTTATCCTTACATGTGGCAATCTTGTGCCTATTGGTTGAAGAGACAGCTGAGCATCTGAACCTTAGGGATGAAAAATCTCTAATGTTCTTCAATTTTTCCTATGATTGTTTTTTTTTTTTTTTTTTTGGTGTTAATTGTATAGTTAAGACTATTCATGCTACAAGAGCATATGAAGTTCATGCATAGTTTTATAGGTTTTAGAACCAACCCGGAAAGAAGTGGGTCACTAGATCAATTGGTTGCTAAATGATTGAACTTGGTTGGTCAATTCCTGTCAAATATAATAAAAAATATTTTACTATATAATAAAATAAAGATAGGAATTGTCATTCATTAAATTAATCTTATGCCACTTTTCAATCTTTACTCCAAGCTACGTTAGAATTGAAAATTAACATATACACTTTTGTAATATGCAAATGTGATATGCGTCATATATATATATATATAACAATGGAGATTTGAAAAAAAAAATGAAAAAAGAAAAAAAACAAACAAAGTTGATAAGCTACGTTAGAATTGAAAATTAACATATACACTTTTGTAATATGCGTCACACGCGCGCGCGCGCACACACACAGATATATATATATATATATATATCGGGTGAAACACCAGAGTGGCCAGTTGTTAGTCGCCTCCACTATCGAGTAAGGTTTGGTTGGGACCGAGCCGTGGAGAAGTGGGCAAAAATCCCGCTTGAAGATACTTCCTATGACCGACAATAGATCCAAAGTTGAGACATGTGCCCAAAACGAGATCAAAGATGTGACCCTCATAGTGTTTCCAGGATCAAGTTGACAAAAAAGAAAGATTGGAAACTAAATAAAGCTCCAAATCCGGACTCTTCCCTCTCAGCCTATTATTCGGAATCTTATATATGTATGTATGTATGTATGTACATATGTATGTATTGATCACAATGGAGATTTGAAAAAAACAAAAAACAAAAAAAAAAAAACAAAACAAAACAAACAAACAAACAAACAAACAAAGTTGATAAGCTACGTTAGAATTGAAAATTAACATATACACTTTTGTAATATGCAAATGTGATATGCGTCACATATATAATTTTGTTATATATGAATCACTAGAACAATTATAATTTAGAGCAAACGGAATTTAAAAAAAAGAATAAATAAATAAAAATTGAAGCCTAACGAGCTACGCGACATTACATATCCTATATAAATTTTGAAAATTTTCATCT